TTAGATGGCCCCCGTCTGCCCAGCCTGCCAACCCAGCGCCCCGTCCCAGTCCTACCCACTGATCCCCTCAAGCCGGGAGTCAGGGTCTGGGGGACAGGAGGCGGCACCTAGCCCAGAGCTAGCGCAGTGGTCAGGGGGAGCTAAAGGTAGGTTGCCAGGCAATGGTGAGCAGGTGCGGGCAGTGGGACCCTCCTGGACATCCCCACCTTCCCGCCCCTCCCCTCCCAACACACACACTTCAGAGTGGCCAGCAATAGGATCCCAGGGGTCTAAGCTCAGGAAGAGGGGCCACCTGCTCACCGTGGCCAGGGCCTGGAACAGGCAGTAGAAGGTCATGTACCAAAGACCTCGCAGGTTGGTGAAGGGGGGCAGGAACCACAGGAAGAAGTAAGCCAAGGAAATGAAGGGCGTGCAGCCCAGCACCCTGCGGGAGCACAGTGGAGGTAGAGTGCCCACAGCACCAGGATGGGGGACACAAAGGGCAGTGCTGGAGCAGCACCACCCTTCTGGGCATGAGCCCTCTACCCTGGAGAAGCCCTGGGCTGGGGCTTTTAGGCTGGGAGCCACCGAGTGGGAGAAGTGGCTGACGGGACATGGATGTAGGCAGGAGTGGGTCTGGGACTCTGGCTAGGACACTTGGGTGTTTGGTGATTCCATTCCCTCTATCGAGGGCCCTGGAGCACAAAAGTGTCCTACTCTGTGAGACCTTCCTTGGTTTCCAGCCCACCCTGCCCATACTTAGCTCTCCGCGTCAGGCCTGGGAATCTCAGAGGCTTTGTCCAGCCCTGAGCCCCTTTGTGAGGGAAAGTCCCCAAGAATGTCTCTGAACTTCTGCATGACTCAGTCTGACCCAGTTTGGTCCCATCTCCAATGGTCTAGTCCCATCACCTGCTATGCAGTCTTGTTCTCTAACCATCCACAGGGATTTCTACTAAGAAGCAGGCTGTGACAAAAACAGTGACCTCGGTCTAGGGCTGGGTACCAGATCCAAAGGACTGTGAGGCTGCTCACCAGGGCATGAGTCGTCCAGACCCTGTCCTCCTGCTTCTGTTGATGAAGAACCCAGCCACAGGGTCAGCAGCTGCCCCAGACACCTTCCCTCCAAACAGGACAAGTGACACCTGGGCAGCAGGGATCTGAAATGAACAGGGGCGAAGATAGCCAAGGCCTGGCAGAAACAGAGAGGGTACCCAGGCCTGCCCACCCACCAGGAGGGAGATCCGACTAAGGCCAGAGCTACAGTGTAAAGATCTAGTCAGCCTCCTCTCCAGGACACTAATCCAAAAGGCTCTCAGGGCACATCTGCACTAGAGAAGAAACACTGGCACATTCCCATTGTTACCCTTGCCCAGTCACTTCTGGAGAAGATGCGAGGGACCCTCATCTAAGCTGGCTTAGTGCAAGAAGGGTACACCCAGGCTGACAATCAGAGGTCGGCGTTTCGTTTCATAATGAAAACGTTTTATTGATTTTTTGATTACATAAATGATACACTCGTAGAAACATTCGAACAAAAATATTAAGCAAATCCCACTATCCTGAGACAACCAGAAGCATTTTGATGATCAACCTTTCATGCATTTATATACATTTGCAATTTGTAATCTTATATAAATGCAACCATATCGGTGTCATTTAAAACAATCATGAATACCTTATCAAAAATTTCTTTTTTGCTTATCCTCTATCCTCCACCATTCCCACCTATAGCCAATGTTAACAGCCTGGTATAATTTTCCGTACACTTTCTCCATGCTCACTTTAAATCATGTACTGACACATATACACATATACTCATGCATTTACATATATGGGGCATGTCTTTGTTTTGCTAAAATAGGATCATTTTATACTCTTCTCTAGAACTTTTTTACTTCATAGTGCATCATGGAAATCCCTCCAAGTCAATTGATATAGATCTAATCCATTCTTTTGAATGGCTACATAATAGTCCATTATGCGGATTTAGTAAAAGTTATTGTCCAATTGTTTCTATATTGCTGGGCATTCACATTGTTTCCCATTTTCTGCTACAAACAACCTGCGGTAAACATTCTTGAAGAGGCTGCCCTCAATAGAATTGGCTTTTTGTCAGGCTTAGAGCACAAGTGTTACCCATGAAGGATGGTGGGGGTGGAAGGACCAGACACCAAGGAGGATGGGAATAGGGGGCCCTGGGCTGTTGCCCAAACTCACCTGTGCCACATCCAGCAGGAAGAGCTGCAGATAAAAGGCTATGGCGCTGGAGGCCACCTGGTTGGGGATCCCGCCAATGCCATAGCACATCTTAGTACAGAATGAGAGGCGACCAGTTCTGCTGTCCTGGAGGAGACACAGGAGCTAAGCAGCCTCAGAGACACAAAACAGCTCCCCACATCCCCTGACTTCCATAAGCATTCTGGGGTCCCTATGTCTTGAGGGCTTTTCCAGAGACCTCTTAGTCCTAATTTGCCCCAAATCATCTTAAAGGGAAGTGACATGTAAAAAGAAAAAAATCTTAAGCCATGACCTCTACAAACATTTCCAGGGGGAAGTTCTTCCTTACATTTCCCCCTCAGTGCTTCCCGCTACAGTCTGTTTTATTTTGAGTCAGCAAGCCAGAGTGAACTGGGGGTCAGGAGACCCCTAACTTTGCCACCATCTCCTCATGTGACCCCGACTCCACTTTCTCCATGCCTCATCTGTCAAATGGAATAATCGTCCCAATTTTGCAGGGTTGTTTTGTTGAACAAATGAGGCAGTGGCTCCAGAGGACTTTTACAGCAGGTGCTGAATGACTGACTAGTAGCCTGAAATCAGCCATTGTGAGAGTAATTATACCACAGAGATAGCAAACATTACAAATCAGAGCCTTTTTTCCCCCTAGGAGACTGTTTCCTAACCCACTACAGAAATGAAGTAATGTTTATGACCCCCAAGTGTGTGTGTGTGTGTGTGTGTGTGTGTGTGTGTGTGTGTGTGTGTGTGTATGTGTCTCACAAGCCCTAAGATATCTAGTGGACTCCAGACTCCAATATTCGACTGTGTACTCACAGCCCCACATGGTTGCTTAAAAAGCATTTCAGCTTAGCATGGTCAACACACATGGCTTCTGATTTCCACCCCATCGTTTCAACCAACTCCTAACTCTGTTGTCCCCATTGCATTAAATGACCCCAATGCCCACGCAGCCGACCGGACCACA